AGTTCAATCGTTTAAACGCGCTCTTCGACGGACATTTCTCGAAGAGCAGACTTTTTTGCCACATTTTTATCCATACTTTCCTTTTTTYTTTTTTTTTTTTTTCATAAATTTTTGTAGTAAATGATTTTTACATAAGTAATTTTCTTTTCATTTTATTCCATTTCGTTTTTACCCTTTAACATTTATAATATAGATAGATTCCTGTTTAATTTGGCTGTGAAGTTTGGCGGCGTCGTGTTCATGGGGCGGCGTTGCTGAGGTATATTATTTTTACGTTCAGCTGCGTCGCTGCGTCGTCCGCGTGAGCGTGGTGTGGTTGAGCTTCACAGTTAAATTTATATATAGTTCATTTTAATCTTGATGTAATGTTTTACTATACTATAGTCAATTTTTCTAATAAGTTCGTGTTGATAGTTGTTATTACATATATTTTATATTTTTAAATTTGTAAATATTAGTAGTTTTATATTGAGGGCCACAAGTGTATTAGTGTAGTACATTATTTAGTGCCACCCTCATTAAATAAAGTTGTTATTATTTATTATTATTACTCGATTGACTGGCTAGATATATCTATTGATAAAGAACTCAGTTTTAATAGTCATATTTCAACAGTTAGTAATAAGGTGAACAACCAGTTTAGTGATCTGAAAAGATTTTTTAAAAATCCCATCGCAAAAAATGTAAAGTTGCGCCTCTATAAAAAGCTTTCATTTTACCATTTTACCACACTTTCGCTATTGTTCTCTCATATGGCATTTTAATAGCAAGAGAAGTAGTTATGAACTAGAAGCTCTTAACAAGTGCATTTTAAGATTTGTCTTCCAAGATACTGAGTCTAGCTAGTCAACAAAATTGTATAATCTAAGGCCCCGTCCACACTATGCCGGAAAAATTTGAATCCGAATTTTTATTTATTCGGTTAGAAACAATTCTTCACCGAAAACGATTTTTTCCAATACGGTCTCCAGAGTGGAAAATTTGAAAATRCGGTTAGCCGTATTAGTGTGGACGAAGAACATTTCGTATCCGAATTTTTTCAAATACGATGATGTCATCATTGTCATGGAAACATGGCGGGAATTCTAAAAATTTACCGCGGGCTCGGATGTGCAATGAAGCGTTTTTGCCACCCCTGATCGGACTAGTGTGACGCGAAGCATTTTATCCGTTTTCATGAGTGGACGGAAAACTTTTTTCTTTCGGTTCCGGTGTGAAAGATGCGGATTCAAATTTATCCAGCATAGTGTGGACGGGGCCTAAGAATGCATCACAATATGCTTACTGTTGTTATCAAAAACTTGTTTCTTTCATCTTATATATATATAACCAAAATACATAAAGGAACTGTTTAATCTACGAAACAAAAAGTATGAGCTAAGAGATAAAAATATGTTAACTTTCCCTAAACCAAGAACTACAAGTTCTGTTTTCATAAGTGAAGTCAATTTRATACCAACACTAGCCGTGAGAAGGGAACATGACAGCACTAGTCATTCATGATCGACCCAAAGATCTTCGCGTTGAACAACACATTCATAGTGAGTTCAGTCTTACTCTCTTACAACCTGGTTTATAATCAAATTGTATATTTTTGGTTGGCAAATTCTCTGAAATACTCGTGACACTCCAACRTTCTTTAATCCTCTCTGTGGCTTGCTTTGAGGCTTTAAATATTATTTGCATTATCTATACGCCTTCTTGTTATAAATACCTAAACTGCGTATGACTTCTCTCATACATCCCACCTTGAATGAGGCAACTATAGAAAGTTCTAGTGAACCAAAGAAAAGGGGTTATCATAGCAAGGGGTTAATCTTACACGGTTTAGGGGCCGACTAACCTCTCACTTAGGTTTTGGTCGAGCTCCCTGATCAGTCATAACGGATAGGGTGTCGGGGTCGAAATTTCCGGCACAGTCGTAAATGCACTGTCTGGAGGTATGGCCCTAACTAAAAATAAAGTATTTGTGGGGGGGGGGGGGATCAAATTCTTATATTCTGTGTCGCATTAATTACAGATCGCTATACTCCCATTTCGAGTTCGGCTTTGTTTAGACTTATCAATGTAACGCTCAGATACATCCCACATGGCATGAAGCAACTATAGGAATTTAGTAACCACAGAAACAAATTGTCTTTTACTGGCCATAGCAAGGGTTGATCTTGCAATCTTACAATCTTATCGCCATCCCTTCAATCTCGTCATATACTATTTGGATATGACAGTCATGAAAGGCAGATCATTCCACCCGTTTTTTCCTACTTTCTTAACTTGTTGAAGGTTTATGGCCCGACTAACTTCTCCCTGTTCTGATACATCCAAAATGGAATGAGGCAACTATAGGAACTTATTAACTACAGAAACAAATTGTCTTTAAACGGTCATAGCAAGGGGTTAATCTTACAACCTCTCCCTTTGGCTTCCTCATGCATGCCTCAAAAAGTATTTTAAATTTTCCCGTGGCCAATCAGTTTTTGATGACAGAGGTAAATACTTCGCGCTGTCATTCTACTGCGCTTCAGCACTACGTCTGGAGGTACAACCCTACTTCGAAAAAGATAATAAAATAGATATTTATCACAGAGAGTTTGTTTGTTTGTTTGTTGGTTTGTTTGTTGTTGTTGTTGTTGTTTTTTGTTTTTTTTTGAATTTTCCAACTTTAATCCTAAGTCGAGCGTGAAATATATTTTAACGCACAACTGCCGATTTGTTTGATATGTATACAGCTTCATAACATTTATTAACTTTTAATGAGAAGTTGTTGATAACATAAGAAATTGTGAATTGGCTGAGTTGAATGCAGGCTTCACGTGTTACTGGTTTACCTAACAATCACTCAGTGCTGTATTACTAATCTAGTAAAAATTCACAGGCGATTATTGACAATCTCGCGCGCTGATTGGTCGAGACGCTATCACACGATAATCRCCTCCAGCCGCTTTGTTGCTGTTACCGGGAAAAAATGTCTTTAATCTTCCTTTTTTTTCTTCTTTTYTTGAAAGAATCACCTGTGTATTTATACTAAAACAATTATTTGCCTCAGCCGAACACTCGAGTCTCGGTAAATATTCTCCGATATTTATTTGTTATTCTTATTTCTTTCTTGGCCTAAATGTTTTGTAAATAATATATTGTTTTGTAAACCGATTTTTGACAAAAATGATCGCAAAATAAACGAGTTCTTCCCTTCGTGTATTTTTTCAACACGTCTTTTTGCTTTCTAATTTGGTTGGGAAATATTGTTTCTCGTTCAATTTGGAAATAATTTGCTCTCGTTTGTTTTTRAAAGAGCCCACTCTTTCAAAAACAAACTCGTGCAAATTATTTCCAAATTGCATTCGAAAGTATATTATTACCTATACAAACAGCAGAAGCGTCGGTGGTATAATGGTCAGCATAGCTGCCTTCCAAGCAGTTGATCCGGGTTCGATTCCCGGCCGACGCAATAACATTTTTGCCTGACAACTACAGAAAACGAGCAAGCGTGATTTGATTCAGTCGCCTCCGCAGGATACTTCCTAAGGTTTTTTTGGTTTGCTTTTTTTTTTTTTTTTTTTTTTTTTTTTTTTGAGAGGGATCTTGTGGTTAAAACGTGGAAGACTAAGACAATTGGGGGACATTATCGTAACCAGAATCTTCCGGCGCCTTCCCGTCGTCAGTGCCTGGTATGCATGAATCTGGGGGAATCAATTTTTTAACCCAGATTTCTGGGGTTCCGGCTTGTGGGAGTCCACTAAAAAGTTCATTGCAGGCTCATTCTTATGGGTATCAGCGAAGAACAAACACATATCTAAAAAGCAAATTTATCGAAAAAGTGGAAAAGCATAGGAGCCATACCTATGCGTTGTGCTCCGCGGGCCAAGCTCCGCTATTATCATAGAGCAATTTTTGGAATGAATTCTCAACTTTACATCAATTTTATTGACGACTAAGAAAAAGTCTTCGGTAGTGTTGACAGGGAGACACTATGGAATTTGTTGTGGTTTCATTCCTTGATAAAAGCTAGCTATCAGGGTGTGCCCTGCAGAGTGGTACATGGGAGACAGCTTTTAAAGTCTTTTGGAGTTCAAACAGGAGTTCCACAGGGGTGCCTGCTATCACCATTCCTATTTCTACTAGTCATTGACTGGATCAATGAAAAACTGTAACACGGGGGTTCAATCGTCGGCATGGGAGCAGCTAGAAGACCTGGACCATGCAGATAATTTAGCACTGTTGTCGCATAACTACCACAAGAGGCAACACAAAACATCAAAGCTGGCAGAAATATTGGTCAGGGTGGGTCGAAAGATCACCAAGGACAAGAAGAAAGTTTTGCGAATGAACACCGGCTATGACAGTTCTTTCCGAAGATGACACTTGTCGAAAACGTTTAAAATTATTAACAAACTTTTACCTTTGTCTATATATTTTGAAAATRTACCGGTTAGCCTGCGTCACATGGCTAGTATAGGTTTACTTATTTCAATAAAGTTAGTCACCTGAAAAGCTACAAATAGAAGGTGAGACCGACAAGGGTTATGGGTGATACATTTAGATGTTTCACCASATAACTACTGACTTGCACATCCTTTACATACCAATTACAGTATCACCTCTTCTGACCATCCTCAAGATGTAATTTGTATCAAAAGCTGTACATGTTTTTTCATAAAAAGTTTCCCATGATCATCGGTGTTATCAGTTTTCTAGGTTTTTGGTAACTAACCTTATATTGAAATTATATTGAATTATTATTGAAATAAGTATATGTAAATAGAGGATATGAAGTTTATCTTTCAGTGGTGAAAACATTTCCCCACTTCTTCTTCCATTCCATATCCCAACTTGAAAAGAAACTCGATACTACAGTGATTTGTCTTACTCCCCTCAATTTAATCCTTATGGTTTGCTTTGTTTGGAGCTATCACCTTTTCCAATATAGAAATATACATATTAGAGATCCCATTAGATAATACTCGTGGGGTAAGGGTTTAGAAGCCATACAAGAATTCTGATGCATGTTCTCTAGTCCACTTTTATTTTCAAATCACACGTAACAGTACATTAGTATATTGAGCCGGTAAGCTCATGCATATTTTTCTGGTTATCTTTGTAAGTATAGCCTTTTTTCTGTAAACCCGATACAGCACGGCCACTCATTTTGTAAACTACCCATAATTTAGTACGTAAAAACATTGCCTATAATTCATTATCATTATTATTATTACCTAAAATAATATACAAGACTTTCTAAGGCCTAGGGCAAACGTCGAACTTTCCATGCACCGAACTCATTAAAAACAATGGATATCAGATGATAATGAGGCGGCATTCTTTGATGTAATTAATTTTGGTGCATGGAAAGTTCGACCTTTGCCCTAGGTCTAATTCTAAGAACTACTTTAAACTTTGTTTTTCCTGGAATTTAATGACCTGAGTTTCCTCAAATTGTCTTGAGTCATTTTATCTCCTGGTTTCAGTCTCAATGCTGTGAGGTAACTCTTTTCTCCTTCAGCATATTCGCCTAAAACRTGGTGGATTGCTCCAAGATTCATGTGAGACACTGGATTCTAAAACGACAAAAGCCAAAAATCAAATTATAAAAATAAGTATGGATAATTAATGAGCAATCAGCCTGTAAATATACTTGGATTTTCTAGATCAAGCTACTCACTCCAGTCTCAAAAAAAGGCTTTAAAAATGTCAGTAACCATTAATTATTTGTTAACGATCTACATGGACCTTACGATCGCTCGCTTCTGGCCTGTCCTAGTGTAAACACCCTTATAGATCGGACACTCATATTGTAAATATTAATTATTTTTTTTATTTCTTAACCGGCTGTTGCAGTAATACATGATGCAAGCTACATACACGAGCTAGTTACACAAGCCCGTGTTGGAGGATTGCTGTCTCAGTTGCCGTCGTTTTCAAATTGGATATCCAATTTGCTCATCGCATAAAAAAGCAACAACAACTACCACACACACACACAAAACCTTAACAAAACAAAACAAAACAAAACACGAAACGAAACGAAACAAAACAGTCACCCAGTCATGACATGATCATGACAGAAAGACATGATCCTAGCAACGTTCTCGAGCCAGTTATACCAGTCAGTGTTTGAGCATTGTAAACTTGTTCCTAATATTGCTAGTTCAATTTATTTCGTTAGCAAATTGAAAATCAAATCGTACACTTACAATTTAGTTTGTGGTTACGTAAAGGAAAGGAAAGCTCTCATAACCTTGACAGGAAGTGCAAGATTTGAATCCAATTTGCCTATCGACAATTATGGCGGTGTTCTTTCGAAACGTATCTTGCAACAAATTCACGAGTCAATATACTAAACACTGACTGGTGTGGGAAAACTATACTTTTAGAGATCTTTAACATATCTCGATCCTCTGTTCTTATTGTTATAATAACGGATGATTGCTCACCAGTGGATTTATTTTTGCTGCTTTTATGAAGTATATTTTTGCATGTTCATTTTTCCCTGCCTCTCTGTGATATAACAGTAGACACAATTAGAGGGTTTTTTTGATCCCACTGCGTTTAAATATAAGACTGGATAGATGAAGACCTGGAGGGGAGGGGTGTGTAAATAAGAAAATATACTAGTAGGAGCAGCTGCAGGCTGGGGGAAGTACAGCCATGCCACTAAAATACTTGAAGTGCGCCGTACTACCGCACAACTTTAAATAACACTTGACTTATTTGTGTTTGGATACCAAAAAAAATATCGTCTTCAGCATTAGTGGCCGTAAAAAAAAGAAAGATACAAAGAAAAAAGAAGAAAAAACTGTCAATATACTAGATTAAACTATTATAACGCTCACAATAACTAATGATCCGTACCTTAAGTAGTTTGCAGCAGTAAAAACGATGTCAAAATCATCAGGTTTAACTTGTGAGGCTTTTATAAACATGTCTGCAGCACCAACAATATCTCGTTCTTCGTAAAGGAATTGTCCGTAATGCGTCCACACCGAGTGGTCCTGGGGCTGAATCTGCTGTGCTTTCCTAAACAGTTGTATAGCTTCTTGCTTTCGATCCTGTATGTGCGATAATAGTTGTGGAAATATCTAATTAGTTTTCATAATCTTTATACTAATAATTTTATTAAACTTATAGTACAAATCGTATTTTCGTAAAGCCCGCGCGGAAGGGTGCTCACGCCCGGCTGGCACTTTGTAGTTCGTTCGTTCATTTGTACGCTTGTTTTTTTATAAAAGAAATATGAATCCATTTTGTATTCTAGGTCAGTTCCAGATCTAAGCCACTAAAAAAAGAATAAATGGAGCGTTCCCGATCCACTATTGCGTTGATCTTTATTATCAATATCTTCATATGAATGCATAAAAGATGAACCTTTTTCGAATTAGTACTTTAATACCGCTGTATTCCTTGATTACAGGATCATTCACTACGACAGGGTTTGCCTTATTTCAAAGTTTTTAAAAATACTCACAAATACTAATGGTAAAGTAAATAATGCACAACTTCCACAATAAAAAACACTTTGGGATTCCAAGGACTTTCACTGGAACATGACATAAATATTTTATATAAAACCGAATGCTAGTCCGGAGGAACAGAGAATTTGAGACTGGATAATTACCATTTTAGAAAAGAGTTTAGCGAGGGTCAGATGTGCAGGGACGTGATCAGGTTTAGACAGCAGGGAGTTCTTATACCATTTTTCTGCTTCTTGTTTCAAGCCAGCTTTGGTGTACGCTTCACCTGGACGACAACAAAACAAAATACATGTCATCTTTATATAGTAACCCATCTCTGAAGCTACGTTACTTACAGCTTTAAATTAAAAAGTTTATATATTTATTTTATAGTTTATACATTAATTATAGCTGTTTATACAAAGATTTAGCAAAGCTTTAAAAGTAGTGACAAATATTTGGTAAGAGACTTTATGTTTTTTTATGTTTGGGCCAGCATTGCAAGTAGTGGCAGTTGTCATGATAATAACGATTTCACCAGGTTGCAGGGTCTTATACACYGCATTTACTTGTAACGACTTTTCTCGCGACACATTCAAGATTCAGTTGCAAAAAGCAGTGTCTGGGTTAATTTTATCATACAAGTTTGATCATCCAGTAGAAGACTTTCTTGCATAGCTAAATCAACCCCTGGACCTCGTTTCGCCATAGCTTGAATGTAGGTGAATCCTTCCCACAGTAATTAATGGCTGATTTAATTGAAATCATTATCCACTGGGCTTGTCAGTTTGATGAACTTTGCAGGACCTGATAGAAGGTAGCGGTCAACGGCACTAACAAGAGTTTGATGGAAGTACTTGTATTTTTCATCATACGAC